GTGGCTGGTGTGGCAACTGCTGGGCTGGGCCTCGCCCTGATGACCCACCTCTCTGTGGGTCAGGCTTTTCATGCACAGTGAAAGGGATGACTTCAGAGACAGAACTTCTCACCACTAAAACTCATTAATGTGAAGCATTTTGTCATTTGAAAGTAGAGAGATGCAGTGTGGACTGAAATCTCTTCCCTCCCATTGCCTAATAGGCCAGACAATGACCTGGAGAGTCCCACAGCAGGGTAGTAGGAACTGGTGGGCTGGGATGGGTGGGAGGTGACCAAAGAATGTCTACCCTTTCCCCACCCCTCTACCTCTCCATGGCATCCACAGTTTTGGTCAACTGCGCTTGGGCCAAACCACAGTCACCGGTGGCCAGTAGGCTGGTGATACCTGTTCTGGTCCAATTCCCTCATTTCACATACTGAGGTCTAGAGAGGTTCAGGGACATGTCTGAGGTCACATAGGCAATTTTGGGGAGAGACAGAAAATCAAATCCAAGTCTCCTGGTGACCACGCCATGGCTTTTTCCATTTACCCTCTCTACCTCTCGGTTTGAGGCAAGATCAAAAATGCTGGGAGACTTTTATATCAGCTGAGGAAAATAGGCTCCTGTTAGTGTGCAAATACATAAAAAAGAAGCAAAGGGAAATTAAATGGCTCCTGTAAACATTCATGTAGAAATCTGGCAATATGACTTACAGAACCAGTAGAAGCTCAGAGAAAAGTTCAATCCAGGGTTGAAAAAACAATAGTTAATTTTTTCAAAACACTCAGCAGAGCTGAAAACTGTGTTCCAAAACAAATAAGTTCTGTTGACTGAGTGAACATATTTTTATTCATTTCATTGTTTATGGCCTCACTGTTAACTCAAAGCTTTTATTGTTTGTTAACAAAACTATTATTGTTAAAAATTCACCGTTTCGGGGGCCGGCCTGTGGCTCACTCTGGAGAGTGTGGTGCTGATAACACCAAGGTCACAGGTTCGGATCCCACATAGGGATGGCCGGTTCGCTCACTGGCTGAGCGTGGTGCTGAC